AAATGAGCAGATATGTTGCGCCTTAAAATCAGCTGGCTGCCAATCCTGTTCCAGCTATTTAATGTTACTTGTACCAAAGTTTTTTAACTATTGATAGGCTAGGATAGAGGATATCAAATAAGTGTAAGTTCATAACTGAATTTATTGAACAAGTTGTATAAAATTATATAACGCGAGCCTCTGGCAAGCATAACATTACGTTATTCAAAAAGTATAATGGAAATGATGCCACGTCAAAATATACTGTTTTTATAAAACGGAAAAATTGGTACAGGTATGCAATAAAAAAATTTGCTGTTCACTAAGGAAATTCCCCTTGTGTGCTTGTATTTACAAGTTATATTTGAGAGAATATGCAGCAGGAAGCTGCAGGATGAGTACAAAAATGTAGCCTGATTATACAGCAGCAACTAATCCTGCACAGTGGCTAGTGAATATAATACTGATAGGGGCAAGAAACTTGCATATATATCAAGAAAAACTGTTTTCAAACTTAAGTCTTACAACTCCATTAAAATGAAGCATTGAGGTGACCATAATAGCTGTATATCAAAGAAAAAATACTTTATACTGTATATATAAACAAGAGCTCAATGCATGTCTAAGGCACAATACTGTCACATTTATGGTCATTGAGTCTTCATTTCATCAAGGGCAGTCACTTCCGCATCCACCATATCCTCCCTGTCCAGCTCTTCCCTTCGCTTCTCGTACAAATCATGGAACACAAGAAAAATAACAATCAGATTCTTGACCGGGAATATCGAGATTTCCTTACTCAAAAGATGCCAGAGGAGAAATCGAATAATCAGTAACGGTAAATTCACTAAGAACACTAGTAACATTTTATGAAGCATCATGATTTCTCGTGGAGTATGTTTATGTCCATAATGAGTTCGGCTTAAAGTCATCAAAGGTAATGTTGGTAGAACTAAGTTAACGCATGCTATGACTATAATAGCCGTATCCATATGAGGTGGGAAGTCTATTATTGCCTCCCCATCAAACAAAACATCCAGAGCATCTACCGAGTCTAACACATCAAAAACAACTGTACCAGTCAACTCAGCAATGATATGTTTCCTGTCAGATTTCACTTCAGCGTCATGATGACACAATAGTAGTAGCATGAAGATAAATGCGGCCAAAGCTATGCTAAATTTCAGCGTGTTCGGACCGAAAAAATCCTCCTCTTTCAAATGAAATGCAAAATCTTTAAAAATGATTGCCACTCTTGTGGCAAGAAACACACTGTAAACAAACCAGGCTAAGTAACCCAGAGGCAGGGCACCAGTCTGTATAGGTACGTTTCTGACAACTGCATCCTTAGCAAGCTTTAAATGCCTATAGGATATTATAAATGCTGTTATAAAGACAAGTATGATGGCAATATCAGCTACTATCCAAGACACCCAGTCAATGTCCTTGTGAATGACTAGGTAGTAATCAAGTACTGCTCCCTGGAGGACAATGAGCACTAGGCAAAGTATCCTAGTGGGGATTTGGTACATGGAATTGCACATTTTCAAGCACACGTTGGCCATGATTGTCACTTACTTTGAATGTTAAACACACTATAATGAGCTATCAATATGTTTTACCATTCATTTAACTAGTCACCGTTACTGAATTTGGTACGCTTTCTGAAATTTTATCGCCATTTTCTTTTACATCTCTTTTTAACAATCAATCCCATATTCATCTGAGTCATTACAACAAGGAAAAGCAAGGTATGTAGTCTTTCTCTGTATTTTGGGCTCAAACTGTTGCTGTCACTGTCTGAAATAAAGTGAAAATAATTATCATTAATTACAATTCATTCATACTTCTGTCCATGAAATGCAGTACTACTATAAATGCCAATTTGCCATATATAGACTTTAAGGATGAACATCTTTTTAAACAAAAAATGGACTAATTATATTTCTCTATTAGGCAATGTTTCAAAGTAAAAATTATGCAAACTGAGTGAAGTAATTTTTTTAATAAGAGCTGTTGATAGGACAGCATGCTCAACTATTCTCAGTGCTCTACAGTAAAACAAGACCCTAAGTGGTCACAAACGGGTCTAAAAAACATCAGCATAATTGTTTACAGTTAGTGTATAGAAGTAAAATTTGAAGTTTTCACGAGATAACTGTGACCAGCAGTTGTCATGTTTCACTTGACACCCCCATTTATCACACCAGTGAACATGTTGTGAGTAAAACAGCTTGATGCACTGGTAGAACTACTATATAAATGTCAGCTTTAAAACCAGATTACTGATATTTATATGTTCTCTTTTTTTTTTTTGTCCCTTTTTATTGACATAATTTTCTGTGATATATACTGTGCAGCAATCAATTACAGGATAAAAGAATAATTACCAAGCGCACAACTGTTCTACCCACAACCAACCTGTCTACTTGCAACCAGTTAACGGGTCACGGTGTGTATAAATTTAGTAAATATTTGCAAAATAAAACGTTGCAACGGTTTAAAATTACAGCATCATAAACATAACAAAAACTTTACTTTTATATTTTTTCTGTAAACAAAACATGTTTAAATCGTCTAGTTTCATATAAGTGCATGAGCCTGTGGTGAAATTTTATCTTTTGACAACATTTTATTTCAAAGTGCCCAAACAAGGTCTTAACTCATACTGATTGTATTCACTTGAAACATGATTCATTAAAAAAAAACAAAAAAAACAATTTGTCACTTTCCAAAACCCATAACTCTGGCCATGGACTCAGTTTAATATATCTGTGCTCTGGCATGGATTTTGAATTAAATGAGGCGTATAAAAACTCTATTATGATCCTGAAAGGAAGTATCAAGTTTCAATTGGGTACTTTCAGTTTTTTTGAAGACTGACACTGATATTGCATGCAAAACTTAAACCTGATTCCACCATGGCATAGAACTGACTGAACTGTTGAATGAATCAATGTCAATGATAGACACTGATAGATACCGTTACGACTGTATCATTGTACGGTTGTGTAGCTATGACAAGTAGATTCTGCACAGATATTGTATTAAAACAAGACTAACCGTAGGCGTAGACAAAACTAAAGTAAAAAGGAAGTATTAACCCATTACTTCATATACACGCCTTTTAACGCCTTTTTCACCCCCCCCCCCCTTTTTGTTGTCTCAAATGATGAAAAAATGCCTTATTTAGGCCCCAAACACTTGTTTTTGTTTGAGAAATGTTGTTAAAAAAAGTGACCTCTTTTTCGGCGCGGCCCCCCAACCAAAAGATGCATCAGGGGGTTGCCAGAAGGGGGATGTGCCCCCTTCTGTTTGGGGGGTTTGAAGGGGGGCGGAGTCCCCCTCATCGCCAAGAAAATTTTGGACTTGTGAGAGGCTGTAAATGACCCCAGATTGATCATAAGGTAACGTGTAACCAACGCTGAAAAGCATTTGACTCTATCTCAATCCATTGAGAAGTTGCAGCACTTTGAAATCAATTTTGATGGAAAAAATCAACGCAAAATAGTGATTTTTGGCAATTTTGAGATGTCCCCTCGTTGCCATGGTAACAGAAAATTTAAGCCTGAGCATGTTGTTGCAAGGGCAATGGTCCAGTAAACATTTGTGCCAAGTTTGATTAGTGTTGAAGCAGTTTTTATAGTATTATAGCAATTTGAACTTGTAACGGGAGACTTTTCAATGAAAACAGCCATTTTTCACAAAATGCTCATGAAGCAATGGGTTAATGAAAAAAATCAAAAAATCTACAAAACAACAATTTTTCTTCAAATTTATATGACAGGCCATGTTTAAACATGAAAAAACGCGATTTAGGGTAATTTCAAGTATTTTCATCATTTTCTGTTAACCCATTACTTCATATACACGCCTTTTAACGCCTTTTTCACCCCCCCCCCTTTTTGTTGTCTCAAATGATGAAAAAATGCCTTATTTAGGCCCCAAACACTTGTTTTTGTTTGAGAAATGTTGTTAAAAAAAGTGACCTCTTTTTCGGCGCGGCCCCCCAACCAAAAGATACATCAGGGGGTTGCCAGAAGGGGGATGTGCCCCCTTCTGTTTGGGGGGTTTGAAGGGGGGCGGAGTCCCCCTCATCGCCAAGAAAATTTTGGACTTGTGAGAGGCTGTAAATGACCCCAGATTGATCATAAGGTAACGTGTAACCAACGCTGAAAAGCATTTGACTCTATCTCAATCCATTGAGAAGTTGCAGCACTTTGAAATCAATTTTGATGGAAAAAATCAACGCAAAATAGTGATTTTTGGCAATTTTGAGATGTCCCCTCGTTGCCATGGTAACAGAAAATTTAAGCCTGAGCATGTTGTTGCAAGGGCAATGGTCCAGTCAACATTTGTGCCAAGTTTGATTAGTGTTGAAGCAGTTTTTATAGTATTATAGCAATTTGAACTTGTAACGGGAGACTTTTCAATGAAAACAGCCATTTTTCACAAAATGCTCATGAAGCAATGGGTTAAGTTTATCAGTTTCGTCCGAAATTGATCAATGTCCGAAATTATTAGACTAGATTAATTTTTAAAGCTTATAGAGAATAAAAAGATCGTCAAAAACTTGGACCTTAGACTACTGTCGGCTCAGTTGAGTTCACAATATAGTATAACAGAATGCACCAATTCGAAACAATAAAGTGCGCCAAAGAATTGAAATGTATTAAAATCGTAAATCTTGCACGCCGTGATTATTACCATCCAATTAACCCAATTAACATAGCACCGGTTATTGTTGTTTCGATAAATCATTAATTTGAAAGACAATAGATAAAAGTTACTTATATCTTACAGGTTTTGAGATATTGAAGACGAATATATTTCTCAAAAAGCTCTTGTAAGATTATAAATATTCCATATTTCCGGATGATATATTTTCGGATGTCTAAAAAATTCTGATCAGGACCAGGGCAGGGACACAGGCGGCAGTATCAGTGTTTGGACACCCCACCCCTATCTGCCCCTGGACCCCTACTACAACCCTGAAAAAAAAATTCAACACTCTAAGGCTTACTATAAGGTACCAAATACAAAACCACCGATGAAATTATATAAAAAAAAAAAAAAATTCCACTATCAAAATTATAGTTATAACTATAATAGTGGAAAAAATTTTTTTTATATAATTTCATCGGTGGTTTTGTATTTGGTACCTAAAAGTGGGGTGTCCAAACACTGATACTGCCGCCTGTGCTTACTGTCACTTTTGTGAGAATTATTTCCACTTTTTCATGTTTATATAACATGTATAACACATAATTTTCCAAGTCCTTAAAAAATATGTTACATATACATTAAAAAATATGTTACATATACAAAGTATAAAACCAAATAGGTTAAATAAATTCTTTATGATCCAATTAATTGCGCCAACACCTATCAGCATACATTTCATTCAGTTTTCAAAGGAAATTTCAAAGTATAATGTTCAATGTCAAAGTATTCATGCCAGAAACAGAATATTAAATCCAAATATATAAAATAAAGGTACTGGCGCAATAATTTTGAGCAAAATGAAGATGTTGGACACATTTCTGTTAAGAATTTTACATTGCAACATATTTTTAAGGACTTCAAAAATTATGTGTCATATAAACATGAAAAAGGGGAAATAATTCTCACAAAAGTGACAGTAACCAATTATTTTTCTTTCTGTTTATGTCTTATATTATGCTCAATAAACAAACAAAGTTTAAAAGAAATATCTTTATTATTTTTCTAGAAATATGATTTTTTATGTCATAAGCCCGATCGGGCATTTTCACAAGCCTGCTCAAAGGGGTCCGACACACTTGGGTGTGTTCATACATAGTTTAATTAACTTACACAAGCAGTTTGAGAAAAAATATTGGGACAAAAATATTATAGTCTCTATATAAATTTTTTGTCCCAATATAATTTCTCAAATTGCTTGTGTAAGTTAATTACACTATATATTAACACACTTAAGTGTGTCGGACCCCTTTGCTTCAACTCATTATGTTTGCCCATTAACTGATTAATAGTAGTAGTGAGATTGCTTTTATTTGTTTATACTTCACTTAAAAGTAAGAAAACCAAGGAGGGCAGGAAATGGGTCAATTTTTAGCTCGACTATTTTATTCTGATAATAGAGCTAACCTACACACTAGGGAATCTGTAGCTTAAGGTCTTCAGCGTACCCGTTTATATACTATGACATGACATGAACAGTCATCATCATTAACCCATTACCAGATATATACGCCTTTCTACGCCTTTTTGCTTTCTCAAATGGTGAAAAAATGCCTCATTTGGGGGGTTTGAAGGGGGGCGGAGTCCCCCTCATCGCCAAGAAAATTTTGGACTTGTGGGAGGCTAAAAATAGCCCCAGGTCGATCATAAGGTAAAGTGTAACCAATGCTGAAAAGCCTTTGACTCTATCTCAGTCCATTGAGAAGTGGCAGCACTTTGAAATCAATTTTGATGGAAAAAATCAACACAAAATAGTGATTTTTGGCAATTTTGAGATGTCCCCTAGTTGCCATGGTAACAGGAAATTTCAGACTGAGCATGTTGTTACAAAGGCAATGGTCCAGTCAACATTTATGCCAAGTTTGATTAGTATTGAAGCAGTTTTTATAGTTTTATAGCAACTTGAACTTGTAACGGGAGACTTTTCAATGAAAACAGCCATTTTTCACAAAATGCTCATGGGGTACTAATGGGTTAATGTAGCATCAGATGAAAAACAAAAATATCAAAAAGCTGCTTATAAAGTTTTGGAAGCCAGAACTAGGGAATCTGCATCAGACAAATGTTTAAATTTTTTGTACTGTTGCTGTGCTGGTCCTCATATATGTACAGTAAACGTAATTACTAGGGAATCTTCATCAGAATAGTGATCAAGTTTTAACAAGGTTTTCCAAGGGAAAAGTCTGTTTATTAGATTGAGGTATGTCGGCAAGCAGACTGGCTGGCGTAAACAATTTCTTCTTTGCGCAACTCCTCCTACATTTCTCAAGGGATTTTGATGAAACTTTCACAGAAGCTTTGTCATCAATTGGAGTGACATATATTGTCACGGTTTTGAGATTTGATAATGTTATGGCCCTTTGCTTTTGTTCCTTATATAGAATGTAAAGTGAACAAATTCTTATTTGCACAACTCCTTCCACATTTCTCAAACTATTTTGACAAAACTTTCACAGAAGCTTTGTCATCAAATGCCCTTCGGCATATCGTCGGGGTTTTGTGATTTGATAAATTTTTTTTATATGGAATATAAATTGAACATTTGACCTTATCATGGCCCTTTGCTTTTTTTCTTATATGGAATATAGTTATAGTGAACAATGTTTTCTATGCAAAAAGCTTCAGTGAAATGTTTTTGCTGAAACCTGGTTTCATCACATTGCGATGTTTCTTGTTGTACTTTTGCTGTGCTGGTCCTTATATATGTACTGTAAACGTAATTTTGTTTTCAGCCTCCAGTTGCTTAAGCCATATTGTCAAAATGGCACTGCTGAGGCTTTTAGCAGAGACTATTTTTTGCAGGTTTAGGCTTGATAGAATTTAAATCTCAGTTCAGTCTGTAGTCTGTTTTTAATGTTCTATGTAAATGTTGAGACCCGTCATCGTGGTTAAAATAGGTTATGTGATAAATAAATATAAGTGTATGATAATCAAAATGAAAGGATTATATAAAATGACATGATATGAAGATACATGTATATAATATAAATGCAATAGATGCATTATATTATTAAAAGTATATATATATAGAGAATATATATAAAGGACAAACAACCCTGTGACCTTTCTACAATCTAATATCTATAGAAAGATTAAAATTTAATCATTTATTGTTGTTTAATTAATATTTTATAAAATTTAATTCTTTGTCAATTTATTTTTTCACAGGATTTTTCTCCGTATCCTATAAAAAAAATGGGGGACATAGATTCATGTCTTGATGCATTTAAACATTTGCCATACTTTAAACCACTGTATACAACCATACTAAGGCAGCAGATGCAGTATTTGGTAAGTCCTCACTATCATTATATACTGTTTTACAAATAAATCATATAACATTATAACCTGGCTTACATAAATAGACAGAGACTCTCTCGACTCTATTTTTTGATTTCAGAGATAAGTCCGAGATAAGATATTTTTCAATTTTACAAACTGATACTGATTTTATTTCCCTCTTTAGAGATTTAATTTCTCCACTTCTTCAATTCAAATTTTCTCCTAAAAATACCGGTATGAGAGAGAAAAAAAGATTTGGAAAACAAAATAAAATGTAAATCTACTGGAAAATTTTATAACGATATAAAAATTGTTCTTAATTCAAAACAATTAATTAACCATCAGCTGTAGAACATGTACAGTGTAGGTAATGGAAGTAATTCATACAGGTGAACATCTAGTAGTTTATTATAAAGTCTAACCTAATTCTTGTAGACAGAGCAGCTATCATTACATGCTGGGGAAGAATCTCTGGTTCTCACTACAAACATTTCTGCTGGAACAATTTCCAGTCTCACTTCAACGTTTGGGACTGGTTTCCTTGACCATAGGTCAGAGTTAAAAAAGCAGTTCACCCAACACTGTGCCAAAAGTGAGTACAATTAATTTATTGTTTGTTTGTCAAGTTAATAATAACGAATCAAGGTTCAATATCAATACTGAAAACATGATGATTTTGATTTAGGGAAAACATAATTGAGAGACCACAATACACAAGTTGAATTGGGAGTATTAGTTTGCACATTTTCTCAATTTTTTTATGATTGTGACTAAAAATAATAATGATATGTTTTTGGCTATATTCTTTGCATATGTTTCTGAGAAAAGTTTTTCAGATAAAAATGTATTCTTTTGTCCCTTGCAAGATCATTTTCAAAACACAATTACATGTATTGAAAATAAAGGAAACTATTTGGAAACTTTCACAGAAGAAAATTTGAGTTACTATTAGCTTTGAGAATGTTCCTTGTAATAGCTATCCCCCATCCCCTGCATAACATTCTTTTAAAAAAAATAATAAGATAACCAGTGTATTGTATTACTTGGATACGTACAAGTAGCATAGGACACTGTATTTTACTGTTAACTATATGTCTGCATTGAATTTCATTGATAAATTAATTATATTTTGTGTGAAGCAGACAAATTTATGAAAAACATTGCATTTTTTGTTGAACTAGATAAATTAATTTCAACTTAAACATATAGTATAACTACATATTACAAAATATTCCAAATGTATCACTTATAGATTTGAGTCTATAATATTGTTGAAGTATGTGATTGATTGTAAATTGTCTCAAATGTATGCTGGAAAATGAATTATATAAAAATCAACAGTTTTGAAAAAAGAAAGAGTAGAAAAAAACAGCTAGAATATACCAGTTAAAATGATTGAATTAGAAATTCAAAAAGAAGTACATTAAGATATTCTATTTAGAAGAAAAATTCAGGATGATCTCATCTATGAGAAATTAAGTGATATCCCGTCCCTAGATTTGCCACTACTTGCCAGCTATTTCCACTGAAAAGGGTGGCATTAAGTGTAAAAAAGGTGGCATTAACTGGAAAATGACAAAATTCCACTCTTTTTCCACTGTAGTGGCAAAATTGCCACCAAATGCCACTATCCTTTGGTGGAAATTTGAACATAGACTTTTTTATGGTGGCAAAAGGGTGGAAATAGGTGAAAAATGAAACTTAGTTTATTTTGAAGGTGGAAAATGAGTGGCTTTTAGTGGAAAAGTGAAACTCTAACTATTTTCTGGGTGGCAAAATAGTGGAAAAAAACTTAGAAAATTTTGTGAATAACTTTTAGTCGAAAAGTGAAACTCTTAACTATTTTCTGGGTTGTATAAAAATTGGTGGAAAAAACTGAGAAATCTAATAATTGTGCATTGCAGGGTTTAAGATTTATTTATGTCAAAGCTCCAAACTGAAATAAATCTGTTTATAGTTTGTACTCTACCAAAGCATCAAGTGAACTTTTTATCAAAAATATAATTTATTGAAGTTGAACAGTTAGAAAATTTTATCAGAAACTCATATTTCTTAAACATACTAGAATGCCATGAACACAATTCTGATACAAAGTCACTGCCTCACAGTAACGGTATGATAATTCCAGCTGTAAAGTAGCAGGAAAAGACACAGAAATTGGACGTAAAATCACTTTTCCAGGCGTTAAACACATATAATTATGATCAGGAAAAATTAGAAAAGTATGGGGTAACTTAACTTCCCATTTTTTTATGGCAGTACTTTTCTTTAGGGATGTAAAATTTGACTTTCAAGTCAAAATGTTTATGTTCCATTCTATGCTTGTAAAATAAAATTACGGCTTTTAAAGTGTACTTTGTTCTTTAGTTATAATCTGTACATTAAATAGTTGAAATGTTCTTCTATGCCCAGAAAATGCATATCTTTGCATAAAGTTTGTTGCTTCTTCTATGATATTTAATGTCAATCTTGAATAAAGTTTGACTTTTGTCTTTTCTTCTAATTGACATAATAAATTGTCTCTTCATAATTACTTTAAACTGATATCTGGTGAGTACTAACACTTTTCATGTAATGCTAACAATAATTAAAGTGAAAAATGCAAAGGGCAATAACTTCAAAAGTATGCAAAGAGTTATGGTTCTTAAACACAGCACATTACTTAAAAAGATCTATATCTGTGAAGTTTTTAATTAATATCTCCAGTACTTTTTAAGCTTAATGATCAAGACAAAAATTAAGCATAGAGAAGTAAAAAATGGCAATAAACCCCAAATCATGCAATAAAAAGTTATGGTTCCTTGGCATTGTAACTTCTCATAAATGAGATTTAGTTATATGTGGAGTTTAAAATTATTGTCTCTAACATCTTTTGTGCTATGCTTTCAGAGGCTTTAAATCTATTGTAAAAATTAATGTGTGAAAAGTAAATAAGTCATAATGTGTGATAAATTTCTTACAATCAGGATAATTAACTACTAGCTAGTAAATACTGCATCCTCTAAGATTTAACAACACAGCATACATCTCAGATCTGATAAAACTACTGCCCTCTTATCTAGTAATCTATGAATGGGGGTTAATAGTTTACTCATGCTGACCAGAATGTTCCATTTGATTATTTTGGGAGAGGCAACATTATACATGTTTTTATGTAGAATTTGTCTTAAAATAGCATGCTAAATTATCTTTCAAAAGCTTATTTCTACTCAATCTATTTAGGTATTAGATATAGTTATATATTCAAATGAATGTAAAAAATAAAATGATGGGTGCTATGGTTTTTGGAAAATCCCTCACAATTTAAAATTATAATGGACTGTCCATGCAGTTACACCATTGTAAAGTTTGAATTCAAAGGAATTGAGGTCAGCTTAAGCTTGCAAACACAAAGGAAATTATTGATATTGTAGCAATTCTGGAGATATTTTGTTTAAAATGTAAGGGTGCATATTTTTGATTTCTCAAAGAAAACATTTAAAGTCTTATTAGTGTGGTAAATAGAAATGAGAAGTTTTAACTGAAGTGTGAATGTGTAGACAAGAAGATAAACAGCAGAATCATTCCCAGTCAAAGTTTCAGGTAAACAACTTTTACATACAATAATTATTGTTATTTATGCAGAAACTGTTTAGTTTTTTGACAGTAAAAATATGAAGTGGTATTGTATAAAATTGTGTTTTATATTTGTTTTGTTTGTAACTTGACTAAAAAGAAAGCTGCATATACAATGTACATATAAAGAATGTAGGAATATAAAGAATGTAGGAAGATCTTCATCATTTCTTAAATACAATATGTAAGAAATTTTAAGTTTGAGAAAAAAATTATAGAAATTAATCAGTAAGTACAATATCATTATGTACAATATTACATCAATCAAACTATAGATAACCTGAGGTACCTATTACTACAACTTTCATGCTATAAACAATTTTCCTTGTGTGTCACATGTGGAGCAGATTAACAGTAACTGATTTATTAGTAAGTTTCATTCCTTCATTGTTGTAATTCAGCTTTCATGGTGCAGTAGATATATAATCATAACTAGACAGTCTAGAGTAACATGCTATTAGGAGAATGACAGTTCATAACAGAAACAGCATTAAATAAGAATTATTATTTTGCAGACACAAAGCAATGAGGAGCAGCCTGGAGCAACACATTTGATCTTCAGTGGCTTTACAAAGGTATCTTGTTAATTCGAAGTTATTTTAGAATTAATAGGAAAGAAGTGTCACAGTACCCAATAAGACACTTTTCAGTTCTTGATAAATATAGCTATTAGTCACTATTTACAAACCTACTTTAATTCAAACTCTTTATGACACTTTAATTTGCATTTACATTTTGTTTTACAAATTTTAGAGTTTTTGTACATTTTAGCTTGAAAATTTTATCAAATATTTATCCTGATGAAGGTGCGTTAAGAACTGAAACTGGAAGATTATTAATTACTCAACCTGCACTGGTGTTGATGTGTTGTATTTCTTTCTTATTTTAAAATTTTAGAGTTGTATACATATACCAAGGTCTTATAAAAGTGTTTCATTTTCTATCTTTACATATTAGATATTGATAATCATTTTCTGTCTTTACTTTATGGATATTGATAATTATATTTTAGGACCAAGTGATGGCAGAACTGAAGCCATATGCCTCAAAAGAGAAAGGTACAGCAAAGCTCTTCAGAATGCTATTCAATATAGAAGAGATTAAAGGCCTCTCATTGTTTGGTATGAGGAAAGGGAACAGAGAGTCTGACGCCAGACCTTCTTGTGCAGACAAGGCAAAACTTAAGTTCTTGGAAGGTAACTAATGAACTGAATGAAAATATCATTTTTGATTCTGCGTATATTTTCTGCCTTGGAGTAAATAAGAAAAGTCTGATTCTTCCACGTCTGCAGTGCTGTTTTTTAAAGTGTTTTAATCATATCTATGCACTCAAATTGAATATAGAAATACCCAATATTCATATAAAAATGTAAGCTTATGTTTTTAATTATTGTATTAATCATTCATAATTTTTTTTGTTTTAGATTGTGCGCTCGAAAAGTTGCCGACAACCTAAAGGACTGAACTCAAACCGTCCAGGAATAGCAAGATAAACTGAAGAAAATAAATGGACTAATGTTTTGCTATTTTTTGAGACAATATATAATTTCTTATGGAAACATTAAAAAGGATTATTTTTAAAATTTGTTTGTTTCCAATTTAGGGTACAGGGTGACTTTCAAGCAGTTTCCAGCTATTGCCACCCACAGGTGGAAAATTTCTGAAAGGGTGAAAATAGGTGGCATTTAGTGGAAACTGAATTTGCCACTATCTGGTGGCAAAATGGTGGAAAAGTGTCTAAATACTCCACCAATTTTCCACCCTTATGGTGGCAAAAGGTGGAAATAAGTGGCATTTGGTGGAAAATAAGTTTGCCACTCAATGGTGGCATAATGGTGGAAATTTGTCTAAATACTCCACCAATTTTCCACCATTATGGTGGCAATAAGTGGAAACAAGTGGCATCTAGTGGAAAATGAGTTTGCCACCCTAAGGTGGCATAATGGTGGCATTATGGTGAAAGTTTGTCTAAATACTCCACCAATTTTCCACTCATTGGTGGCATTTAGTGTAAAAAAGGTGGAATTAACTGGAAAATTATATAACATCAGTCCTGCTCAAATTTTTCACCATTTTCATGATTTGGGTGGCGTTTTGGTGGCATTATTTGTGGAAAATTGTCTAAATACTCCACCATTGAAAAGGGTGGCATTTTAGTGGCAAATCTAGGGACGGGCTATTTTTTCATGTTCATCTAAAATAAAATACTTTTGCAAATATTGCATTTTAATAAACTGCCTGTAATGTTTAAATAATATTTATCACACACCCATGCCGTTTTTGCGACTCCGTAAATATGGTATTGCACAGCCATGCATATATTTTGACGTGATGTCATTAGCGTTATACAAACATAGTGTAAAGACGCACTAAATGTTAGCGATAAACTATAAACGCGTCAAAGAAAAATGACTCTTATTTCACTTTAAACAGTCTTTAGTTTAGGTATGTGATAAATAGAATATTAAATTTGTGTAAGTTTGTTACTGAATTTATTGAACTCGTTGAATAAAATAATATTATGCTTGCCAGAGGCTCGCATAATATAATTTTATTCAACTTGTGCAATAAATTCAGTATTGAACTTACACTCATTCAATATCCTCTATGTTACTTAAAGTGGCAGTCAGCTTTTCTAAAGGTTTAATATGCTATGTTTAGATAAATTGTTTCATATAGTTGTCAAATCAAAACAGTCAAGGTGGAAAATGAAATTTGCTGTCAATAAAATACATAAACAATAAGGAAACACCTTGATACCTCAAATCTTCCAGTTCACTCTCTATATGTAAATTAGTAAGGTGGACAATTCGTTTCCACATCTTCTTTTTGTAGAAATGAACAGCTCTGAGGATGTTGTTTTGAAGAATGCTTAACAGTGATACCATGCACTTTTCTAAGATATTTATTGAAATAGTTACATGTTATTTGAAACAACACTGAAATGTTTTCCAAATAAAATAAAAGCTGAAGGCTGCTGTAATGAATGTGTTTCTTGTTAAAAATACTACATGACTGTATGTTGCTTGTACAAAATACGGGTACTATACTTTTAAGAAGAACCACACTAATGATTTTTTCATTTTTGAATGTTAATTGCAGATAAACTGACATATGAAAGTTTAAAGTTTGACTCTAGAAGAAGTGTCCATACTGATACTATGTACATACAAGAACAACCGAACATGGCTGTAAAAAGAAAGAGATTAGAGATGGAGAAGAACCAAACAGTTAAAATACCTAACATGGATGATTATCTCAAAGTTAAAGACAAAGATAGAAAAATAAAGACAAATAAACTGATACAGAAGGCTAATATTAGTAACAAAGACAAAATAAATACAACTTCTCATGTTGGAAACTTTGCTAATATTAAAATTGAAAATGTAAGAGATTTACAGCATGGTGAAAGTACAAAGTGTGATGAAGGTGGTCAAACATCAACAGAGGAAACAAATGTTTGTGAAGGAGGGGATGACAGTAATATGTACATCATAAAAAAAGAGCCAGATGATGTTGACTGCTTTGTGATTACTAGAAATACAAAGGATAGTCAGGAACCAGAGTTGGCTAATTCTGTTGACACTGTAGATAATGGTAGCAATAATGTACATGTCTCAGGTAAGACTATGGCCCTATATTTTTACCTTGGTCATTACCGCAAAAGGCAGTTGGAAGTATTTAACAAATACTGTATTCCTAGAAAAGATTTCGCGCATTTTAAGTTAGCGGTTTTCGCGGTAGGCATGATTCCGCGAATCTTTATACCCGCGAATATGTCACTTATAACAAATCCGCGAACATTTCTAGCTTCAACCAAATATAACATAAAAAGTGTAGAATATTTATTATAATCTACTTACACAAAACAACATATAAACACAGGTTTTAGAGAAATGTGTAAAGAATTATTTATGTATGTTATTCATACTAGTTTTCACGTTGAAAAAGAAAATATCAATTATTAGTAATTAACATGCTTATTGACGTTATTTGCTAGTCACGGCGTTGACAAACGCATTTACAGTTTGCGAACATTGAATGACTTGGATTTCATTTGCTTGGAGTAGGTGTAATCCTTTGTTAAAAGTACAATAGCGATCAAGTGCTACATTGATAAACAGCTGTTATGTTGTTAAATGAGAGCGATGTACAGTCCGATAATGTGTAAAAAAAAATACGTATCTACATTTTGGAGATAGAGTCAGTTATTATTCAAATGAGAATAAAAGCTAACTGGTCTGACTAAATCTTACTTAATAACATAATGAAAAAGGTAAGGAAATATGAAAGTGTTGACGGAACAACCGTCCTTGTTCAATTAGTCAATAGATGAAAATGTATCGAGTAACGTTGCGCTTTAGGGGTGACTTGAAATAAAATAATTAAAGCACCCACCAGGCAAGGTCATGCATCAAAAACGTAACCTCCAAAAACTGTAATTTAGGCCGTAGCGACTTAACATTCGCAGAATTCGCGGTTAGTACATATCCGCGAAAGTTTGTCTCCGCGTAAATGCCGACGTTGTGAAAAACGCGAAATATTGTATCCGCGAACATTTCTAGGAATACAGTATATGGATTTTCTTTCTGAGCCTTGGCATAAGGCTATGTTAGGTTTTTGTAAAGAATGTAATATCTCGTGATTCGTGGATGGTGTTCATTTGATTCTGCATATATATCATTTGGGTCATGATCGTAGGTCACTGAGCAATGCTCGTAATTTTAGTGTGGAATTTCATTGAATTCTGTAATTCTTCCTCTATGTGCAATTGGAAAATTCCTGCATGACCCTGTGTTACTTTCAAGTACTGAGCTTTATTGTAACAAGTGATTTCATAATTAAAACATTAAAGTTTTCATTCTTTTTTTATATTTACTGGTAAAGCTTTGAAAGGTAATGCTGATATCTCTACATTTCTTTCTTCATTTCAGATACACCAAGTTCACAAGAGAATTTCACAAATGAGGCAGTTACTTCAGTAACTGAGGAAAACATTTCTGTCAATACATTGAATAATATGACAGATGATGTAATATCAGTACGTGAGTCATATATATCTGAAAAGGAGGCAGGCTCTCTGCCTGAGAAAATCCTCACCGAAACAGATGACAACATGCATGTTATAACAGTTCAGAAATCATATCTAAGTAGTTCTGATGAAGGTTCGTTACCAGGAAAAATGTCAACAGAAACAGGTGGCAGTGACATATGGATTGTTGCTGGTGTAGATAGCGAAGCTAACCTGGTAGAAATGTCAAATTTATCACAAAATCACTTATCTGGCTTGAATAAGCAAACATCCGAGTTATCTTCTGAAATAGGTATTGACAAGACGTTTGAAACAGCCATTAACCAGAATTTTCCATCCACAAGGAGTGGTGGATTTTTGTCTAACATAAATGTTACCCAGGAGTACCAAAGAGGTGCACAGTTTATTGGTAGTCAGTCAACACCTGCTGCACAAGTTCGAAGGTCAACAGATGATACTAAATCACACTATCAGTGTTATTTTTGTCCTCAAAGTTTTACTTCACACTCTTCACAGAAAAGACATGAACGTAGACACACAGGTGAAACCCCCTGGGCATGTGAATTTTGTGATAAACGGTTCTATAGAAAAGATGATCTTCATGTGCATTCCTTAAAGCATGTTGGACAAAAACCGTACATGTGTCCAATCTGCCTGACTGGATATTGTAAGAAAAAATTACTAGAATTACATGTGGCAACACACAAAGATCTGTCAGAAGCAGCTCCTTCTGCTAGTACAAGTGATTAAGTGGACCAGGATTTAAAAAGAGTATAAAGCTATATCTGCATTTTATTATATTGAAAAAGAGTTCTTCCAAAATGCCCAAAGTAAAAGTTATGGTAGGATATTTTATTAAAAGCAGATGATGCATGTAGTAAATCATGGTTGAATTATTAAAATTCTACATGAAATAGCAGCATAATATTTTTATGCCCCCGGGCATATAGTAATTGAACCGTCCGTCTGTCCGGACGAGGTTAACCTAGAACGGCAAGTTGGATTTTTCTTAAGTTCTACCTGTACCAATGGCCTCTAAGTTTACACACTTACTAATCAATACAAAGTACATGATCTGGGCAAGTTACATAACTCTGGCTTTCATATTTACCAAGTTATTGCCCTTTTCAGCACGTAGAAAATGAATAATGGTTAACCTAAAACGGCAAGTTGGAAATATCTTAAGTTCTATCTATACTAATGGCTTTATAACTTCCACACTTTCTTATCAATACAAAGTACATGATATTGTCAAGTTATATAACTGTGTCATCCATATTTTCCAGTTATTTCCCTTTTTAGCTCGACTATTCGATAAGAATAAGTAGAGCTATTGCAGTCACCCGAGCGTCGGCGTCGGCGTAACCACTTACGTTAAAGTTTTTGTAATAGTTCAAATATTTTCAAAGTCCATTGACATATGGCTTTGAAACTTTGCACACTTGTTCAACATCATGACCCCAACCTGTAAACAGGAGGAGGTAACTCTATCAAGCATTTTAACAGAATTATGCCCCTTTTTCGACTTAGAATTTACGTTAAAGTTTTGTAATAGTTCAAATATTTTCAAAGTCCATTGACATATGGCTTTGAAACTTTGCACACTTGTTCACCATCATGACCCCAACCTGTAAACAGGAGGAGGTAACTCTATCAAGCATTTTGACAGAATTATGCCCCTTTTTCGACTTAGAATTTACGTTAAAGTTTTTGTAATAGTTCAAATATTTTCAAAGTCCATTGACATATGGCTTTGAAACTTTGCACACTTGTTCACCATCATGACCCCAACCTGTAAACAGGAGGAGGTAACTCTATCAAGCATTTTGACAGAATTATGCCCCTTTTTCGACTTAGAATTTACGTTAAAGTTTTTGTAATAGTTCAAATATTTTCAAAGTCCATTGACATATGGCTTTGAAACTTTGCACACTTGTTCACCATCATGACCCCAACCTGTAAACAGGAGGAGGTAACTCTATCAAGCATTTTGACAGAATTATGCCCCTTTTTCGACTGAGAATTTACGTTAAAGTTTTTGTAATAGTTCAAATATTTTCAAAAACCATTGACATATGGCTTTGAAACTTTGCACACTTGTTCACCATCATGACCCCAACCTGTAAACAGGAGGAGGTAACTCTATCAAGCATTTTTTTTACTATCAAGCACTAAGAATAGTCGAGCGTTGCTGTCCTACCGACAGCTCTTGTTTCACTTTGAAAATAGGGCCTTGTCTGGTTAACCTATTTCGGCAAGTTGGATTTATCTTAAATTTCTCCTACATTGTAATTGCTTAATTTCTTTAATGATATCTTTCATATTTAGTAGATGGATACCTTTGATGTTCCTCTAATTTTTTGTGGAGTAAGCGGTCTCTAGGGTCAAGGTCAAGGTCACTGGTTTAAAAAGGAAATATAAACATTTTTGCTCATACAGCCTTTATTTTTTAGTTGATGTCTTAGTTTAATACAAACATGCCAAGGGAAGTCCTCCTTCTTTGGGTGTAGTAAGGGGTCGTTTGGGTCAAGGTCAATGTTACCAATGTCAAGGTCACCAATGTTAAAAATAGATTTTTACATTTTTACAGGTGTATTGACCTTATTCTATAGACAGATGATATTTATAATTGATAGAAACATAAACTTTGATGGAGTTAGTGGTCAGTTGGGTCAAGGTCACCAGTGCTAAAAATAGATTTTTACACATTTGCTCATACAGTCTTTATTTATTGACAGATATATTTTATATTTGGTAGGAAGATAACTTGCATGGTATTCATCCTTTTGATGGGGGTAGGGATCAGTGGGTCAAGGTCACTTGTGCTAAAAATAGATTTTTACACTTTTGCCCATACATCTTTTATTTATTGACAGATGTATTTCATATTTGGTAGGAAGATAACTTACATGGTATTCTTCTTTTGGATAGAGTTAGGGGTCAGTTTGGTCAAGGTCACCAGTGCTCAAAATAGATTTTTACACTTTTGCCCATACAGCCTTTATTTAAAAACAGATGTATTTCATATTTGGTAGGAAGATAACTTGCATGAAGTTGAATATTTTTCAACTTCACAAGTCAGAGCAATGACTTGGCAACTTATATTTTTCACAATTACAAAATGCCATGACTTTGTCAAGCTATATAACTTGTGTTTACAATTTTTTGGCAATTTTTCTGTCCATAACTGAGTGAATGGGTAAACATTTTTTGAAATATTGCTACTGACAAGAGTCTGAGCCGGGGCATTTGTGTTTAACAAACACGTTCTTGTTTCCATAATGTTTTGTTTTGTTAACTAATAGAGATATTTTATGTTACAAGAATATATATGTTTAAAGAATCAACCATATGATTCTGGAAAGATATTTTTAAATATAACAATATTTTATTAGATGTAGCTTTATACCCTTTAAAGAAGAGTATTACTTATATAATAACCAGTAATATTTTTATTTTTTATCTTGTACTGTGAAATCAGTGGTTGAGTAGTCTTTTTGAGTTTTGCTGTTGTGTTAGATCTGAAAACAAAGTGTTATATATGAATATGAACTGTTACCTAGATCTCTAAGTGTATACACAAAAAGCTGCCGTAGATCAAAGAAATTTCATTGTACTTTTATAATGTAAAGTGTTCCAGACAATGTATCAGTTTAACTTAGTATATTATAAACTTCATGTATAGCAATGGAAAAGAAAAATTATTGGAATTCCCAAATGTACATAGAAATGCTATAATGAAAGCAGGGTAATCATGATTTATTACTTTTAGTTTTATATTCATGTCAGAAATTTATTACAGAGTTACTGCAACATTTGATTGAACCCTTTTAGTGTTTCAACAAAACAAATTATCTCTGCAGCCAAAAAAGTATCTTACATTTTATGGAAAAAGTACAGAGTTGAAATCTCTTTGTTTTGGGAAAGTTAAACAAATTTAAAATTTTAATACAACCTGTCTTGTACAAAATTTAAAGGAAAATACTGCTTACTGGTTTGAAATGAGACCTAGACTTACAGGTGGTCAGTCATATAGATAAGTAAATATATCCTTGATAGAAAATACAAGTATGAAAATAGAAAATACTGTAAAATATTGTACAAATGTAAGTCACTTGATAGCAATGCTTTTAAAATTTTGGGAGAAAAATTCCATTTTTAAAATATAGCCACTGAAATTTACATGTATAATGTTTTACAAGTCACAAAACAAACTAAGACCAAAAGTGATGAAAAATTATTTCTTATTTTTAGCTCACCTGACCACAAAGTGGTCAAGGTGAGGTATAGTGATGGGGCTATGTCCGGCGTCCGTCTTCGTGCGTCGTCAACAATTGGGTTGTTAACAGTCTAGCAGTCACAGTTTTGATTGGATCATCATCAAACTTTGTCAGAATGTTTGTCTCAATGAAATACAGATCGAGTTCGAAGATGGGTTATCTCGGGTCAAAAACTAGGTCACAGGAGCTAAAAATAGAAAAAGCTTGTTAACACTCTAGAGGCTGCAGTTTTCATCCAAATATTCTGGAAATTTGTCAGGAAGGTTGTTTTAATGATATCTAGGTCAAGTTCGAAGATGGGTCATCTCCGGTCAAAAACTAGGTCACAGGAGCTAAAAATAGAAAAAGCTTGTTAACACTCTAACAATTGGGTTGTTAACAGTCTAGCAGTCACAGTTTTGATTGGATCATCATCAAACTTTGTCAGAATGTTTGTCTCAATGAAATACAGATCGAGTTCGAAGATGGGTTATCTCGGGTCAAAAACTAGGTCACAGGAGCTAAAAATAGAAAAAGCTTGTTAACACTCTAAAGGCTGCAGTTTTCATCCAAATATTCTGGAAATTTGTCAGGAAGGTTGTTTTAATGATATCTAGGTCAAGTTCGAAGATGGGTCATCTCCGGTCAAAAACTAGGTCACAGGAGCTAAAAATAGAAAAAGCTTGTTAACACTCTAACAATTGGGTTGTTAACAGTCTAGCAGTCACAGTTTTGATTGGATCATCATCAAACTTTGTCAGAATGTTTGTCTCAATGAAATACAGATCGAGTTCGAAGATGGGTTATCTCGGGTCAAAAACTAGGTCACAGGAGCTAAAAATAGAAAAAGCTTGTTAACACTCTAGAGGCTGCAGTATTCATCCAAATATTCTTGAAATTTGTCAGGAAGGTTGTTTTAATGATATCTAGGTCAAGTTCGAAGATGGGTCATCTCAGGTCAAAAACTAGGTCACAGGAGCTAAAAATAGAAAAAGCTTGTTAACACTCTAGTGCCTGCAGTTTTCATCCAAATATTCTGGAAATTTGTCAGGAAAGTTGTTTTGATGATTTCTAGATCAAGTTCGAAGATGGGTCATCTCCGGTCAAAAACTAGGTCACAGGAGCTAAAAATAGAAAAAGCTTGTTAACACTCTAGTGGCTGCAGTTTTCATCCAAATATTCTGGAAATTTGTCAGGAAGGTTGTTTTGATGATATCTAAATAAAGGTCGAAGATGGGTCATGTCCGGTCAAAAACTAGGTCAAAGGAGCTAAAAATAGAAAAAGCTTGTTAACACTAGTGGCTGCAGTTTTGATTAAAATATTCTGGAAATTTGTAAGGAAGGTTGTTTTAATGATTTCTAGGTCATGTTCGAAGATGGGTAATGTCTGGTCAAAAACTAGGTCACAGGAGTTTAAAATAGAAAAAGCTTGTTAACACTCTAATGGTTGCAGTTTTCATCCAAACATTCTGGAAATTTGTCAGAAAGGTTGTTTTGATGATTTCTAGGTCAAGTTTGAAGATGGGTCATCTCAGGTCAAAAACTAGGTCACAGGAGCTAAAAATAGAAAAAGCTTGTTAACACTCTAATGGCTGCAGTTTTCATCTAAATATTCTGGAAATTTGTCAAGAAGGTTGTTTTGATGATATCTAAGTCAAGTTGGAAGATGGGTCATCTTCGGTCAAATTCTAGGTGACAGGAGCTAAAAATAGAAAAGCTTGTTAACACATTAGGGGCTGCAGTTTTCATCCAAATATTCTTGAAATTTGTCAGGAAGGTTGTTTTGATGATGTCTAGGTCAAGTTCGAAGATGGGTTATCTCCGGTCAAAAACTAGGTCACAGGAGCTAAAAATAGAAAAAGCTTGTTAACACTCTAGTGGCTGCAGTATTGATTCAAATATTCTGGAAATTTGTCAGGAAGGTTGTTTTGATGATTTCTGGGTCAAGTTCGAAGATGGGTCATCTCAGGTCAAAAACTAGGTCACAGGAGCTAAAAATAGAAAAAGCTTGTTTACACTCTAGTGGCTGCAGTTTTGATTCAAATATTCTGGAAATTTGTCAAGAATGCTGTTTTGATGTTTTCTGGGTCAATTGCTAAGATTGGTCATGTCCGGTCAAAAACTAGGTCACAGGAGCTAAAAATAGAAAAATCTTTTTAACACTCTAGTGGCTGCAGTTTTGATCCAAATTTCCTGGAAATTGGTCAGGAAGGTTGTTTTGATGATTTCTATGTCAAGTTTGAATATGGGTCGTGTCCGGTCAAAAATTAGGTCACATTGCCCAAATATGGAAAAATCTTTATAACACACTAGAGGTCACATGTTTGACTCAGTTGTCATCAAACTTGGTCATGATGCTTGTTTAAGACATTGCTTGGATGCGGTTGTGTCAGGTGAGCGATCCAGGGCCATCATGGCCCTCTTGTTTGTGTGAGTGATGATCATAATCATCTTTTCAAGAAAAAAAAATTAAAGCAAGTATTAAGTGGAAAATGTAGAAAATTGTACCATTTGAACAAAGTTAAAACAAAATGTAAGTTGTAGAACATTTTTGTTATTGTCTGTTTGTTAAAATGTTGTTTATTGTTAGGTTTAATCATATGTGAAAATATTTTATATTGAAAGAATTATTTTCTTTGAATATTGATTGGCGGAACAATTGTTTTAAAGATATAAATATTCATTGAATTTTTACATGTTTCATGTTTTCTTAAATATTGGTTGGTATACAGTTAGTGCAATTTGAAGTCTGATTTTATTTTTACCCTTTAGAGGTGCTATATTTTTACATTATTTTTTTTAATTACCATTTTCTTGTTATTCATGTGCAAATATTTGGTTTCTTTAAAGAAAGGCATTTGATTTCAGTCATTTTTATTTATACCCCCGCACAACGAAGTTGTAAGGGGAATATACTGGAATCAGCTTGTCTGTCCGTCCGTCTCCCCGTCCGGCCGTCCGTCAGTTTGCCTTGTCCACCCAATAACTTAAGATTCCTTTGACCCACAGTCTTCATATTTGGCATGAAGGTTAGTCATGACTAAAAGATGACCCTTATTGATTTTGAGGTAATTGGGTCGAAGGTCAAGGTCACAGGGGCCTTGACTAAAAAAGCTTGTTCGTCCAATAACTTAAGATTCCAGATTCCTTTGACCCATAGTCTTCAAATTTGGCTTGCAGGTTAGTCATGGCTAGAAGATGACCCCTATTGATTTTGAGGTTGCTGGGTCAAAGGTCAAGGTCACAGGGGCATTGAAAAAAAAAAAGCTTGTCCGCCCAATAACTTAAGATTCCTTTGACCCACGGTCATCATATTTGGCATGGAGGTTAGTCATGATTAGTAGATGACCCCTATTGATTTTGAGGTCACTGGGTCAAAGGTCAAGGTCACAGGGACTTTGACTTCAAAAAATTGTCCGCCCAATAACTTAAGAAACCTTTGACACACAGTCTTTATATTTGGTATTGAGGTTGTTTATGACTAGTTTCTTGCATCACAGACTGGAATATCTAGCTGTGGGTAACTGTTTAGCGGAAACTCGGCAGAGCCTCGTTACCGCTGTAAACAGTTACCCTCGAGCTAGATATTACGGTCTGTACCAGCAGCCGGTGTAAGATTCTTATAAGATGACCCCTATTGATTTTTAGTTGACTGTGTCAAAGGTCAAGGTCACAGGGATTATTACTATGATAAGTTTGTCTGCTCAAATGCTTAAGAATGCCTGTCCGCAGTGTATTGATTTTGACATTTTCACATTTGAAGCATGTAGAATACATAACTTGCAATGCACTGGCTTAGTAACCTCAGATTTGGCAGGGAGGTTGTCCTTGAGCTTTAAATGGCCACTGTTGATTCTGAAAGTGGTATGCGGGGGTATTCACGCCATGGCAGTGGCAGTTCTAGTTTATTGTCTGTTAATTATTTAGAGCAAAATGTTCACTTTTTATATGCCCGAAAGAATTTCGGGCATATTATGTTATACCCCCTGGCATCAGTGTCTGTTAATAGCAATTTGGTTTCCGGAGCATAACTTAAGTTCCATTTGGCCCACAGTGTTGAAACTTCATATGATGATTGTCCATATTGGGTTGAAGACCCCTATTGATTTTGGGGTCACATGGTCAATGTCACTATAACCTTAAAACTGAAAACAGTTTCCGGAGCATAACTTAAATTCAATTTGGCCCACAGTGTTCAAACTTCATAGGATGATTGTCCATATTGGGTAGAAGACCCCTATTGATTTTGGGTTACAAAGTCAAAGGTCAAGGCCACTATTTCCTTAAAACTGAAAACAGTTTCCTGAGCATAACTTAAGTTCCATTTGGCCCACAATATTCAAACTTTATAGGAGGATTGTTATTTGAAGGAGGTAATACTTTATTGAATTCCCATGTCTTACAAATGCTTCATCTTTACTTAAAAAAAAATCACATTCGGGCATATAATGCTCCGCCTAGCGGTGCTCTTGTTTTTAATGCATCATTCAATTGTATGTTATTTATTTATTAATAAATGCTGAAAAGCAGCTTTATCTACTTGAATGGTTACACAAAAAATGAGCGTACATGTTATATTTATAAATGTTCTTTGTAACATATTACTACACTGGAATATTTATTGTAATTTGGATAATTTGCCTGAAAAAAAAACCTTGGTGTAGGATATGTTTTTTTGCTCCCCGAAAAATTTCGTGGCATATAGTCGTCGGTTTGTCCATCAATTGCTCCGTACGTCCCAAATTCGTGTCTGGCCCATAACTTTGTTTTTTGAAGTCGGATTTTAAAACTACTTCACAGAAATGATCACCATATTGAGACGACGTGTCCCGCGCAAATTTGGGTTGCTACCTGGAAAGTTAAGGTCATAGCATGACCTTGCAGCAAAATCGTGTACGGTTCATAACTTCATTATTTGAAGTCAGATTTTAAAACTATGTCACAGAAATGATCACCATATTGAGACGACGTGTCATGCGCAAATTTGGGTTGCTACTTTGAAGGTCAAGGTCACAGCATGACCATGAAGCAAAATCGTGTTCGGCCCATAACTTTGTTATTTGAAGTCGGATTTTAAAACTATTTCACAGAAATGATCACCATATTGAGATGACGTGTCGCGAGCACTTTTGGGTCGCTACCTTGAAGGTCAAGGTCACAGCATGACCTTGCAGCAAAATCGTGTCCGGCCCATAACATCGTTACTTGAAGTCGGATTTTAAAACTATTTCACAGAAATGATCACCATATTGAGACAACGTGTCATGCGCAGCATTTGGGTTGCTAATTTGAAGGTCAAGGTCACAGCAGGACCTTGCAGCAAAATCATGTCTGGCCCATAACTTCTTTACTTGATGTTGGATTTAACAACTATTTCACAGAGATGATCACCATATTGAATCGTCTTGTCGCATGCAACATTTGGGTCGCTACCTTGAAGGTCAAGGTCACAGCATGACCTTGCAGCAAAATCGTGTCCAGTCTACAACTGCGTTATTTGACGTCGGATTTTACAACTATTTCACAGAGATGATCACCATATTGAGACAATGTGTCGCGCGCAACATTTGGGTCGCTACCTTGAAGGTCAAGGTCACAGCATGACCTTGCATCAATATCGTGTCCGACCCATAACTTCGTTATTTGAAGTCGGATTTTACAACTATTTCACAAATATGTTCACCATATTGAGACGATGCGTCACGCTCAACATTTGGGTCGTTACTTTGAAGGTCAAGGTCACAGCATGACCTTGCAGCAAAATCGTATCCAGCCCTTAACTTCGTTATTTGAAGATGGATTTTACAACTCCTTCACAGAAATGATCACCATATTGAGACAATGTGTCGCGCAAAAACATTTGGGTGGCTACCTGGAAAGTTAAGGTCACAGCATTTCCTTGCATCAATATCGTGTCCGGCCCATAACTTCGTTATTTGAAGTCAGATTTTACAACTATTTCACAGAAATGATCACCATAATGAGACAATGTGTCGCGCACATTTACACTTGGGTTGTTTTTACACTTTGAACTTTGTCTGTGACATAACTCTGACACTACGAGAGGTATACCTTCCTGTGTCCAAAACCTATTAGGGGAGCATCACCTGGTTCAACCGGCTCTTGTTTATGTTGTGCAATTGTTGTATTTTAAATGCCTCTCAGTCAAACACTGTTAATAAACTAATGAATATAGCTAGCTTTTATGTTGTTGTTTTGGTCATGGAAAGGTTGATGTTTTTATGTCCTGACTGAAGGAATAATTTGTCTGTTTGACAAGTGTAGCTATATATATGAATTGTCAGATCCTTCATTATCCGGTCACAATCTATTTTTGTCAGTTGGTCTGAAAGGAAAATCTAGTGCTTATATTGAAATGTGTTGGTGGGCAGGGAAGTTATGAACAATTTATTCTGTGTGCAACTTCTCCTATATTTATTAAGGTATTTTGATCAAACTTTCACAGAAGCATTGTCACCAAGTGCCCAAGGCCATATTGTAGGTTTTTGCATTTCAAACTTTGTTTTCTTGAATAATGGTTCTTTGTTTTTGTAAAAAGACAGGGAAATACACTTTTTTTGGCAACTAATTTCTCATTGGATTTTGACTAA